TGAGCAACAATGGTTTTTAAGCGTAGTAATTAACGATACAACAGATTCACATGCAGAAAACTCTCATGTATGCGTGCTGCAAACTCCCTAAGCATACTGGCTGACCCCTTGCACTTCTGCAGTCAGCCCACTACAACTTTTATCTTGCCTAGCAAGTACTACTACTGCAGCAGTAAACAGGATTAACAAAAATACTACTAATCCTATTAACTTCTTACTCTAAAGTGTAATGGAACATCATCTTTCTTTTTTTTTTTTTGTATTTGTGAAAACTCATTGAACATACTTCTACACATAAACATAGCACTTGACCTGTCCCTAGCTAAAGCACTATTTAAGTACTCCATTCACCCAACGTGCCTTGACTGCATGTCCGTGACCACTTTAGGCCAGCGTGCAAGTTATCAAATGCAGAATGTGCCTGTGCTGGGGGAACAAGGTGACAGGACAGGATGCTGGAAACGTGCTGGGTTTATGGATGAACACGCTTCACGCTGCAGGTGGTAGATCAGGGCTTCCACCCATCTCCCACCGTTGCTTCTGGCTCAGCACAGGCACGACACAGAAAACTCTCTCTGGCAGATGGAGCACTGGACTAGAAATAGAATAGTCCAACCCCTCTTTGTCTTTTAGTAGGAATCATCAGCTCCTTTGATGGTGTCGCAGCAACGCATGCCAGCTTAAAATTTGCCCCTAATCTGTTATTTCAGTGTTATGATTCAACTGCATGCTTTAAATTGGTAAAAACAATGGTTTTCTATTCTAAATGAAATCCAAATTCAGACTTAAGATTTTGCTTGAAGATCCTACTGTGTCTCCCCAGAAAGAATCCCCTGTTAATGTAATGTACTTATTCAGATCTTGTGACTGAAAGTTGGGAAGTCTAAGAGTTAAAAACTGTAAACAGATAGATCATTAAAATCTAATGGATTTAATCATTAATAAAAAATTTCACCCATTGGCAGAGGTACCAGATCCGTGCTAGTAAAACTATCTTGTAAATTAAGTTTCAGAGGAAAGAGCTACACTTCTTACAACAATACCACAAGCTACAATTAAAACTTAGAACATGATGAGATGAATTTGCATACAACATGTTCTAAACGAGGAACTTCAAATTCACAAGGCAGTATGTAACTGCAACACACCCAAATTTCCTCTTGCCAGGATTACTAGTCAATACTATGGCTCTCTGCAGAAGTACCTCTTTAGGGATACATTTTTACAAACACATTGCATTCTAAAATACTTCTCAGGAATGGGCAGGGATTATACTCCAAACAACTCAAAGAACTACATTAAAAAAAACATTAATAAGATGTTGCCTATCAAGCAGCAATTACTTCCACTAGCATTTTTTACTCTGCTCCAATATTTATGGTTTTGTTTGGCGAAATCATGCAATGTAGGACTTCTACATGGCCATTTCACTACTACATCCCATTTTTACTGTGACTGTTGTTATATAAATTAATCCATTGAATTGACCAAGGAAGAGGCTCTCTTCCTTGGAAGAAGTATGCACTTTACTGTGTAGCTAATTATTTAATGGATTGGAAAAATATACTTGAGAAGGTGAAATTCAGTTAAGCTATTCCACACCATAAATTGACTGAAGGTATATAAGCTTTCATTAAATGAAAAGCAATGAAGAATGGAGTATTCCCAGTTATTTCTAAAATTGTGTAATATCCCTGCTCATTCTAGGGTCCCTGGTGCCAAGTTACCATTGGGGTTTGGGTGGTTTTTTTTGTTTTAGTTTGGGGTGTTAAGGTTCTTTTTTTGGTCGGTTTTGGTTTGGTTTTTAATGTACACCTAAAATAGGTAACACAGATAACCTTTCCACCTATCATAATGGTTATCACAATACATAACTGTATAATTTAATCATCATACGGCTGGTTGTTAGTATTTCCACAACCAAAGAACAAATTGCTTAACAGACAGAACTGGAAAGGAAGACCTCCAAGTCCCTATTCCCCCAGCACACACATGCTGGTCAGACATAGTTTATCAGGCAACGCAGAAAGAAAATTAGTAGTCTGCCTTCCTTTCCATCCTGTTATGCCCCATCTTGATGACCAATAAGGGATTAAAACTCTTTTTTGGCCTATAAGATGAAAAACCTCTTTAGTTGGATTATATTGGTAAACCATCCTCCTCAAAGTGCCAGACAATCACCTCCAGATAGATAACACACATTTTTGGATAGAAACAATTTATTAGATAGTGAAAAATACAATTGCTGTAGTTGTATTAGCTTCTACGTCAAAAAACATTAACTACAACAGCTGTTCAAAAATTTGGACAGGAGCATTTTATTATCATTACAAAAAAAGCTGTAGTCTATGATCAACTCTTTCCTAGCTTCCTGTACTAGGATGACAGGCCCTGTCCTCTATATCCTCTACTCAAATCGTTGCTGCTTTTATTTCACAAAGTTACTTCTTTCTTTCTTTTTATCCTCTGAAAATGAGTGTAGGTATGAAACTGTGCTACGGTGGAGAGCAGACAGTTGCTATGAAGTCTATATAAGCCCTGTTTTAAGAACAGTGTTCTTGGGAAAGCTGCTTATTCTAGGAAAGTTGTGCATTGGCCCTGGCTAGAGCTGGTGTCCATAACACAACTGGACTTGGCTGAGCAGTGTTTCAGATTGTTAAGAACATAGGCGGCTGCAAGAACTCATCTATTCTAGGATCTACAGTACCTATAAGGATCTATTTTCGTATTAGTCAGTTTAATTTAATCTAAATTAGTCATTAAGTCTCATGAGTATCAATCCTCATTTGAGATGACTGCCCTAAACTTTCTCTCTGGAGGTCCTCTGAGGAAATCTACAATAGATGCCCAAAGTTCAGATGGATATGTGACCCCACCTCACATCTCTCTGTAGGTAAATGTCTAGGTTCTAACCCAGAACAAACACAATGAATTTAAATAAAGTCTTGCCACGTCAGCCAGCAATTAATAACCAACAAAAGCAAACTTTCTCAACTTGGAAAAAAACTAAAATCATTAAATGTTTAAGATTTGGCATTACAAAACTTCGATTTTTTTTCTCACAATTTAGCATGTTGGTTTTGTTGGTTTTTTTTTTTTTAAAAAAAATCTGTCATTCTAAGAAATGGCCATTTCAGACAGGCAGAGACTCCCATTCAGGCTGCACTGACTGCAGAGAGAAAGCCTTCACACTCAGAACACCGTTTCTCTGCAACTGTCAACAGGGAACCCCAGCTACATGAAATCAGCAACTGTCTAGATTTCAGGAACTGGAAGGATTCAAGGACTTCAAAATAACTATATTGGCTTGCAATTTGTATGTTGTTTCTTTGAGTATTTTTTCCTGCAGGAGCAGAACTCACTCCATACCCCCCTCAGGAGCACACCTCCCTTTCCCTCACGGCAGGTCTATCCGCATCAGCTCTCCTCTCACACATCAAAAAAAAATGCTTTGTTCTGCATTACCTCTGGCTCATATCGACTCCTTTTGGCCAGCAAATGGTTATTCTGCACCACAATTTTTATTACTTGACAGCTTTTCTGTCACCACCACATTCGCTTTATCCTTTCACCTTGTTCTGTTTGGTCCCACAGTCCAATGCAACATCAGTGGTTTGGGTGCTATGGAAATCCCTACACAATGTATCCCTACTTCTACCCCAGCCCTTCACACCCAAATTTCTCCTGCCCCTTTCCTCATGGCTATCTCCTTTCCCACCTGAATGAGGGCAATAGCTACAGCTGGCGAAGACAAGCAGGCGTCTGGGTTTTGCATTATTCCAGGGGAGCACAGAGCACAGGCCAAGACAAAAGGCTTTTCTATGAAGGCTCTGCTACCAATTTCAGACAGTCAGGCAGGCAGTAATAACAGGCTTCCAACCCACCTATCCTAGGCAAGTAATGAAAAATTCAAGGAAGAAAAAGTGAAGTGATGGCTCTGTTTTTCCTTTTTAGCTTCAGAAGTGCCCAGAAGGAAAAACAGCTGCCGACAAACTTCCCATTGTTCCAAATGGGTTTCACGTGCCAGAAACACTGGGCATGTAACAGTTTTAAAAGTCCACCCGGACTAAGTTTCCAGAGGACAGACTGGAGGGCATTCAGAGTGGTAGACCTAATCTCACTTCAGTGAATAGCTAAGATTCCTGAAGTTAAGCAAAGCTTGCTTGCATAAGAAGTTAACTGAAGCAGGAGTTAACTTTCCATTTTTGTCCTGCCAATGTCAGTCAGTAAAATTTAAATTCAGTATTGCAAACCAATTGGTAGTTCTACTGCAATATACTGGTTGAGTAGCATACCAAATAAGAACCACAGCAGTTTTAACGTAGGCTAACTGAAAAAGATAGAAAATGGAACATTTGTAATATAAGGTCTACCAGTTTACCAGGTGGCATTGAAGACTATTCACTGGAACTGTGTAGACAACAAAAGATACAATTCGGTTTTAATCAGATTGCCTGAGTCCAGAAATTCCAGAGATACCAGTGCAGCAACTGTTTCACTTACAACATGTAACCAGCATGTGAAGCTAGCTTATTTGGCTCTTCTTCAGAGTTCCTTAAAAGAGGGTGATTTCTTCAATAAGCAGAACTGTTATTACTCAACAGCATACAGTATTCCAGTTGCAGATTCCGATCTTCAGGCAAGGTTTATTTATTTTCTTCTGCTTGAACTATTTAACATCTTAGTTTGAAGAAAAAGAGCTATACCATATCCTGCTTGTTGTTTCATATTCACTAGGCGCTTGGTCATTGGTCTCCAGAGTATACTGCATCCTGTAGCATCCATCGATATGGACCTTAAAACTCCCCAAAACATGTCCCACTTCCAGCCCTCTTCTTTCAGCTCCCAAGAATCTGATTTAAAGTAGCTACCACTTGAAAGATTCATAATAGACACAAGGATTATTGCATGATTTGCATTTTTAACTGGGATAAATTAAATAAATTGCTTCCACAGAGTACGGACAGTCTAGTAAAAAAATGGAGCACTTTCCATTTGGGTTGTGAAAAGAAACTGATCTTGAACTTTATTTGTATTATACACAAAACAAGTGTAAACTTTTTTTCAATTTGTCTTCTATCCAAGTGTATAAAACAATAAAGAGTAGGTGAAAAAACATCTAACATTTACCCATTGTCAACAATCATGGGCAGTTTTGACTCCTCCAATGCAGGAACTAATGCAAATTGATTTCAAGCAATTATATTAATGTGACTGTAGGGTTTTATAAAGAGATTTAAGGCAAGCATCTTGTCAAAGTAAAGCTTGAGCATGCACATTCTAAACCATAAAAATTTTAAACTACAGCTGGATTCCTTCGTAGAATATTGCTTAAGTAGGTTCATCAATGCATGCAATACAGAACCTTTTTTAAAAGAGAGATAAGTAATATGATGAAGGGGGGTTGGGTGTTGTGGACATTAAGTTTTATACCGGTACCTCAGCATAACTTAGACAATGTTTTTTGCCTGGAGGTAAGTTCTAGCCCCATGAGTACAATTGTATTAAAAATAAAACCATACTTAAATTCATACTGCCCTCTTTTCTACATCAAGTTTAATTCTGAAGATCTCCTAATGCCCTGAAGCAAGTTAAGCCTAACATAAGCTATATAAGTAGCATTAACCTAATTTTACATATCCCTCCACCCTCATTTTAGATACTGAAGTAAGAGCAGGTCATTTAAGCATCACAAAAAACGTTATCTTAATATCATCTTACACCCATTTTACAATAAGGAAATTAAGCTTTGAGATCCACACTTACATGCTCAAGTATATAAGGATATTAACCTCACAAGTGGGATTTCAGAAAAAACCTTAGCAGTTTTCCCACACACAGTGGCATGTCATTAACACTGAGTATTCTTCATCCTATGGCTTCAGATGAGGTAGGTATTGAATCTGGCCTACTCAACTTCAATATTCTAACTACAACTTTTGTGGTATAAAAGCATGGCACAGACAACAGACACCTCCTACTGCTAATGCCTTTGAAGAAGCTGTCTCTTTAAATGAGTGACTAAATCTAGGCAGGTATTCCTACCTAGCTGATATGTGCTTCCCCGTAGATTGGAACTGCATGCTTACACTCCTACAAAAAGTATAATATTTAATATTGCATTCATTAAATGTTGAATTTGCTATGCTAACCAGAGGCTCTGATTTTTTCCACAGGTTACTCTTCTACAGACTGCAAAGTTCAGAGCCACAATGCTTAAATTTCTCTATGAAGTTGTCTACAGGATTTATAAAAAGAAAAATGAGTAAATGGCAAGACTGGATTTCAAAACAGACAAGACACAAACAAAAACAACCTAACTAACAACAAGAGACCCATGGACGAACGAACAAAGCCAAGATCCCAGCACCACTGATATTCTTCCCCTGGCTGGAATACAGGAAGTCCAAGTGTTGAGCTGCTCAGATGACTATAGCTTAGACTTATAAATGTGACATTAACTTCTGCCAAATACTTGCACGAATGCAGATGTAGTTCCTATTTTTGTGCTTATATCTTTCTTTGGAGTATCTTCTTTTCCTTTTTCTGTTCCATGCACATCCTTGACTCATCCCTTATTCTAATCTATATACAAAGGTTTTATTCTGGACTATGTTATGTCTAATAGTTTAATCAGTGTCTTATAGACAGCAACAAACATACAGAAGCATCTCCGTTCCTCGGCCTTTCTGTAAGCTAAGTTATCTATATTCTTACGATAACCATAATCAGCATTCTTACCATTCAAACCATGGTAATTAAGTTGACCTATTTGCTGGGAAGCACAGGGTAAAGTCACATGGAACTACAGAAACGCTTACCATGCCACATTAAAAAAATAACTTTGAACATTTACTTTTCTAAATGTCACTAAAACCAAGCCCTGCACGCATGTAAAAAGATTGTTTTCTCCCTGTTTTTATATGCTGGGGTTTTAAATGAATCCTAGCAGTACATTAAGTCTAATTCTCATTGAATTTAATGACCTAACTGATAACAGAATTAGTTAATTATTAATCACTCCTGTATTTTATACCATTCAAAGGTATTATTTGATCTCTGAGAAATTAAGACTGAAGTAGTTTATTTTACATTTGCTGTCCACATTTCAGAAGACCCTTTATCCTCTCCTAGACCTTGATAGCTTTTTTACAACCTCTCAGGCTAGACCGGTTATATAGAAGAGCTATATTCCCAAGACAGATGGTTTAAACTTCAGGTTGGGCCTTTTTTGTTGATACTGTTTCGATAAATCTCAGCTGAAATTTCTTTATGCACAAGTAGAATACAGTGCCAAACTCGGCACAAGGTAGCTCTCTGAAGTGAGAATCCACTCTAATGCATCACAATGAAGATTTCTACACACTCTTAAAATCAGAATGAACTTCTTCATCCCTCATCCTCCATTATTCTGACCTTGGCTTCACTCAGGTACCAGACATGAACATGCGCACACCTCAATAGTTTAGAAGTAAAAAAACTGCACCATAAACCTCAAATATAAACATTCTTTGTTGAACTATGCAGTGTAAGAACATACAGAAACAAAAAGATATTAAGCATTAAGAGCAGTAATAAAATTGCAAAGTCTAAGCCGTATTTGTTACAAGATATTACTTCTTTTATACATTAGTTGGCAAGGTGTTTTACAAATATAACATCATCTGATTATTGTACATTTTTCTGGCCGTAAGGTCCTAAATACAGCTGCCTCCCATCCGTATCAGAACAGATACAAAACAATCCAATCAGCTTTCTTTTAATATGTATTTTCTTTCAATTTTTGTTAAAAAGTGGTGAGCTAGGACATAAAAACCATAATACAATGAACTTTCACCAAGACTAAACATGATATGCACAGACAAGAAGTTTTTTGTAGTATTTTCTAAGTAGACAATTCTTTATCAAAGAGAAGCTTTGTCTTATAACCAGGCTACTTTACTATTCCTCACCTTAAAAAATATAATTATATATTTATTATCAGAAAGATCAGAATGATCTTTTGTCATAACATAACTATGTAAGTTTAGCCTTGCTTGCTTAAACTAAGGACTTAGCTTTGCTCTTGTATATATTGCAATTCCTGCAATTGTCAATGTAGATTACAGCATCGTAGTGTAAATGCTCAGCTTTGCTCCAAGTTTCAGCATATTATTCAGAATTCCCATGGGACGTAAGCAAGCGAGGTGAAGATTATAAAGAGACATAAGACTAAATCAGAGTTGTATTTAAGGCCCAGTACAGTATACAGCAGGCAAAAAAAAAAAGCCATGGACTTTTTGTCCCAAATCTTAGCCACAAATCACTTTTAACTTAGACATCATGTACTAAATAATAGTGCATCAATGACACATTGTGTCGGGGAGACACGCGCATTTTCTGCAGTGTTTGGAAGACAAAGCATCTCTACAGCTCTACTGAGACCTACCTTAAGTGAAGGGTTACAAATCACTCTCACACGTTTATATTTCCACTGCTAGTAAGTTGGCAAAAAAAAAATCCAGAATAAAGCTAAGAATCTTAATCAGTCAGGCTTTCTAATAAACAGGTCTGGAACAGCAGCACAGAAAAGACAACAAGCTGTCAATAGTACTTATGTTGGGGACCTCAGGGCATCAAAACACTACAGAGGGTATCACAAATTTGCGTTGATATGCCTGTTCCCTGCATGAGTGCAGAAAGGCAGGTCCCAAAAGAGACAAAATGTAACATACACAGGGTGCTAATGTTGACTTTGGAAGGCTACCTGAAGAAAACAAAGTTCTCTTTTACTCTCTCTTCAGCCAGTATCATTCTCCTTGAAAAAAGTACACTGCTACATAACACTCTGTACTAAACTTTAAAAAAAAAAAAAAATCATTCTAAGGAAGGTTATTGTTTGCTTTATTTTGATTTTGATATCCCAAATCTCACCCATAAAACACTAACTGTAAGACACTCCCCACAAAATCGAGATATCAGAGACTACTTCATGCTCCACCCTGAGTCTGTTGTCCCAGTTCTAACTTTTCTATAGAGTGAATTACTATTTGAAATACAAATTATAGCATTGTTACTGGCAGTTGGTTTCACTGCCTTTCACAAGAGAATGATGTGTTCCCATTCGATTGCTATAATCCAATCATCAGATTAAACCAAAATAATCCTCGACTGAACATGAAAAAACTCAAGAAGGTATTAAAAGTATTGTCTGAAAATATCACATGCAGAATTTTATTTTTGCTGTCTACATCTTATAAACAGATATGTATGAATGGGCAAGTAATTAGAGAAGTCAGTTGGTAGCGTACGCTATTGTCTACTGATAAAGAAACAAATATCTTTTCTACTTTAGCTACAGTTAATAAAATGTATTTTAAAATAAGCGTTTATTGGTGACTCAGTCTCTCAGGTATCTAAGCTTCAAACCAAAGGTGTCTAATTTTACGCAACAATTTAGTTATGCATTTACAATAGGCACAAATCCAGACCAGTGAAGACAACAGACTTTGGATTAGGTTTCCAATTCTAGAGACCCATTATGTTTATTTAGCTAATATTTCCTAATATTATTAGGAAAATAAATAAACTCTACAAATATTTATTTATTTGGGTTGGAACCCAAGAACAGAGAATATCAAGAAGGGGATCAGTCTTCAAATATTAATAGACTGCTTCAAAAAAGGGAAATAATCCTTTCTCCAGACCCGTAACAGAGAAGACGGGAAGCAATCAGTTTGGGGCTGACATCGGGAAAAATTTCCTAGTCTTTTCCCACTGGGAAAAACATCCTGTGTAAGTTACAAAACCTCTCTCAGTACAAGCTTGCTTTTTAAAAAAACAAGTTAAACATCTATCTATCAGGAATGACCCAAGACTGCTGATCGCTTTTTTTAGGGCAAAAAAAAAAAAAAAAGAATACACAATCTCTTAATGTCCCTAGTAGCCCTGCTGTTCTACAGCTGAAAAATATCCCCCGTAATCACTTATTTTGAGTGAAGCAGATCTGCAAAGACATTATACGTGTAGCCCTGCCTAACTTTATCTGACAGTGTAAAAATAGTGCACTTAAGATGGGTTCATTTTGTTCCCAAAATGAAATTAAGTCGAAGATGATTATTTTTTTCCTCTGGAACACAAATTTTGGAACATGGTATGCCAAATGTGGGTAAAGGTTATCTGCAGACACTGCATTTTTGTCCCAGAGGCAAGAAGGTCTCAAGTGTACTGCAGAAAATCAAACCTTCACAAAATGCAGAAATTATCACCAGTTCCACTGCATAACCCGCACCTGGTTTCATATAAAAAAATAAAGTGTTTGCATAAAACTTTATTGCACCATCACTTTTTTAAAATATCCCCCATTCAAGTCAAATATTAAATTATTTTTATCAAACAAAATATAAGGTCTTCTTTAAAGTATCAAGTAGATATAGTGTATGCGCTATACAGAAAAAGAACATTCTAAAGGAATGACATACATCAAATCAGAGATGACAGAAAACAATCATCAGGTTGTTTCTTGATTAAAAAAAAAAGATTGCAAAAAGATTGTGTAGGCTATTGTATGTATTGTATGCATGAAAAGCATCCCTCTTCATTCAAGGTGTTGAAGCAGGCGACACCTTTAAGCTGTCAAGGGCTGCATGGATTCTGAAGTGCAACCTGGATTCCATAGAGTATTCTTTGTAGTTGTTTCTGCAAAGAATAAAGTTATTTTAAGAAAAACATTTTTGGCCTGGATTGTTTCTACTTCATAGATGCACTGAAGCACCGAAGTTAACAGCCTTCATTTCTTCAACAAGCAACAGAGATGGATGAGTTATAAGACACTTGATGCTACCTCCACAAATTGAGCAGAGACTTATACCAGAACTAAAAATTAAAAGTCCTGATAAATTAGATCCGTCTCTTAACATCTCTTTCACTTACTACAATCTTTTCAACAGCCCTTCCCATTACTGAAATTTGCTCTGAAAAGACAAGCTAGAAGACTACAAAAAAGAAAGGCTGTTAGCTGAAAGCGTATATTCAGCTTCAAAACACAACTCAGAGTAATGAAACACAGAGAAATCACATTATGTAATTTAAAAAAAAGGAATTACTGTGTTTCTAAAAAAAGGTTTTAGGAAGTTGTTTCTAACTCACATTTACAACTACCTGTACACACACAAGGAGCAAATTCTGCTCCATACTACAATCTACAGATGAAGCGAACATGCTGTTCTACAATAAATTTAGCTTTGTGCTGCTCTTCTGTGACAGGATGTGACAGGAAAAAGGGAGGTGGTACTGGCTTTTAACCCACTCTCACCAACACCTTTACTGCAGCACATGTAAGCCCCCCCTGATGCTCTCTGGGACAGAGGTGGGACAGATCTTTTCTCTGGACTCTCCAGCTCCATCCCATGCATGAAGTGGAGCCTCAGCATCTCTGCAGCCTAAATCAAAAGGAGACATTTTCCCCTCATACTCTGTCTTGTTTGATATTGTCTACGCCACCTTGTCTGAAGAAAAGAGTTTATTGAAACTGTAACATGCAACTATATCAGAAAACTTTTTCATGTCAAGAACACAGATTTCTAATTACTTGTATTTTGCAAAGGTGCTGGCAGGAAGAATACACACGTGCCTTCACAGCTAAAGTTATTCAGTTATTCTTAATCTTAGGATTTAACACAAAAAATAAAAAACAGAATCTACTCACTTTGCAGTTTCGATGTATCTTATTGCTTTTTCTCTCTCATCCTGTTGCTTGTACAGGAGACCCAATTCATACAGGGTGAATGGCACCAAATAACTGTCATATTTTATTTGCTTCTCACTAGAAAACAAAAAAAAATACAAAAGCAGTTAATTACAACATTTCCTTGACTGACCAGTTAACTTTTAAATGCAATCACTGCCTGTAAAAGCACATAGCCAGAGAAAACACTCTGGAACCTTTTTACTGGTTAACTCTGCGCACATTAATTATACCTGGAAAGAGTGGACATAAAGTATGTTCAACATGACCTTCTAGAAGTAAACATTTATTCTTTCCTACTTCCTATTTGCATTGTGGTATGTTACCCAAGCTACCATGAACACAGTTCCAAGCGTGGGACCCTATTACATGGAATCACAGAATTGTCAGAGTTGGAAGGGACCTCTAGAGATCATCTAGTCCAACTCCCCTGCCAAAAGCAGGATTGCCCAGGAGCACTCAGGACTGCATCCAGGTGGGTCTTGGAAATCTCCAGAGAAGGGGACTCCACAAGCTCCCTGGGCAGCCTGTTCCAGGGCTCTGGCACCCTCACCTAAAAGAAGCTCTTCCTCATATTTGGATGGAACTTCCCATGTTCCAGACTCCGCAGTCTCACTGGGCAACCTGTGCCAGTGTTTAAACATAAGATTTTTTTTTTTTGGTCAAACAGTATTTCCTGTATTTCAGTTTGTACTTCTGGTTCTGGCACCATTGAGAAGGTAACCCTTTTAAGGTCTTCTCTTTTCCAGGCTGAATACTCCCAGCTCTTTTGGCTTCTTCTTACATAACAGATGCTTCAAGCCTTCAATTATCTTTGTGACCCTTTGTTAGACTTGCTCCAGTATATCCATGCCTCCTTTGTACCAGTGAGTCCAGGACTGGACAGTACTCCAGATGCAGCATCTCCAGTGTTGAGAAGGAAGGAAGAATCACCACCCTTGACCTCCTGATGACACTTTTCCTAATGCAACTCAGAACACTGTTTGCCATCTTTGTTGCAAAGACACATTGCTGGCTCATGGTCAACTTGTAGTTCACCATAATGCCCTAGATCCCCAGGGCATTTTGTGACAAGTTGCTCTGCAGCCAGTCAGCTCCCAACAGCCTGTACTACTGCCTGTAGAGGTAGGGAGTGGCACTTCCCTTCAATGAACTTCATGAGGTTGCTGTCAGCCCATTTCTCCAGCCTGCCCAGGTGGCTCTGAATGGCAGCACAACCATCTAGCATACTCTACCACTTTGTATCGCCTGCACATTTGCTGAGGTTGCATTCTGTCCCATCATGCCAGTCTTTAATGAAGATGTTAAGAACTATTGGCCCCAGCATCAAGCTCCACACTATTCTACTGGTGACTGGCCTCCAGATGACTTCATGCTACTGATCACAGCTTTCTGAACACAGCAGTTTGGCCAGTTCTCAATTCACCCCACTGCCCACTTACATAGTTGAGACTTCATCCGTTTGTCTGTGATGATATTGTGGGAGGCAGTGTCAAAAGCCTCTATGGACTCAAGATAAAGAACATCCACTGCTGTCCCCTCATCTACTGAGCCAGTCATCTCACAGTGGAAGACTATAAGGATGGTTAAGCATGATTTCCCCTTCATATATCCATGCTGGCTACTCCTGATCACCTTCAGGATTTTGGAAAGGGTTTCCAGAATTATTTACTCCACCCTCCCAGGGACATATGAGAAGCTGAGTGGCCCGCAGTTCCCCAGGTGCTCCTCCTTGACCTTCTTGAAGACAGGAGTGACATTTTCTTTCTTCCAGTCCTCAGGAGCTTCCCCTAATTGCCACAACCTCTCAAAGATAATGGAGTGTTATAATATCATTGGCCAGCTCCCTCATCATTCATGGTTATATGCCAGTGTCCCATGTACTTAAGCATGTTGAGTTGCCATGGATATATATGTGTGACTAGTCTGTCCACACTTTTCCCAGCTTGACCCTCCTCTGTCAAGGCTCTGTGGACCTGGAATTCCTGAAGGCTGATCTTGCCAATACAGAATGAGGTGAAGAAGGCATGTCCTGTGTCTTCTGCAATCAACTCTTTGATGCTTACCTGAATGGAGTAACATCAACCAACAGTGCAGAGTGAAAAACTTTGCAACAAGCACTGCAGAAGCTCTCGCAACACTTGGGAGAGGAACACTTCTACAGAGGCACCTCATCTGCCAAGAAAAGCCTTGGTGCACGGAAGTGTATCTTAAAGCAGGGAGACTGCTTATGTCATAAACAGTCTAAATGTACTGTAGCAGTCTAAGAAATGTAGAGAGTAAAGCTGACTAGAATGTAGGTATTTAATTTACCAGAAAACTTTTCCTCCTGCCCCATGCAAAACATTGACTTTAAGAAGTGTTGTCTGAAGTTTTTTGAGACTTCTCAGCTCTAGGAATGCCCAGTGTGTCAACTATATTTGGAGCAAGGTTTTCAGAAACAGCATTCCTATAACTTGAAACCAATCATGCCCTGCAACTTGAAAAGCGCTTGACTAAACTCATTTGGGATGTCAGAAACAGTATGAGAAGGCAAGATGGCAAGAAAATGGGAACAAGCAGTAAAAGTATATGTAACAAATTATCCTTAAATACTTTTTCTAAATTAATTAGTAGTGTAAAATCTGCTTTTTCAGCGTAATTACTCTGAAAATTCTTAGAAGTTTACAACTACAATCAGTACATGACTCAGTGTTACATAAAGAAAAGTTATTAGGTATCAGATCCATATCTACTGTAATGTATTTGTAAATCCACAACACCAAAAACTCGAGTTTTCAACTGAAACAAGTAGCAACAATTTATCATCTGCAAAAAGAAGCATTAAATCCTTAAGTAATAAATCCTGAAAACACACTAAAACAGGAAATCCACGTGAACTATCTTTACTTAGATTGATAGCTCTGCAAATACAAAAATACTAGTTCTAAACATATTCAGATAAATGTATTATCCATCAGTTTGATTTATTTGATTGCATTTACATAAAGCTATATAATGTTAATTTGCTATAGAAAAATACTAGCAAAGTTTTGTAGTTCTCCAGCTACTTTCAGAGGGATTTTAATTCCAGCTCCTTAACAGGATACTGAAGTTTAATCAAAATTCTAACATGATGGCTTCTACAGGAGTATCAGAAATCTCACCCAAGGCTATAAAATATAAAGGCAAGAAGTCTTTTCATGTTATTGTTACCTTTGAATTACTTTACTGAAACATAGTTCAGCTTGCATGAGTCTTCCTAAGTGTTTCAGGCAGAGGCCTTTCAGTAACTGCAACATGCACACATCATCCATATAGTATTCATTGTGATCTAAAAGTAAAAGCAAGATACATCATCAAACAATTTGGAGACATCATGAAAAGGAAAATTAGATTTTCACTAGGGAATATGTATTCAGCCTCAGGACTTTGCTTCTCAGATTTTATACCTCAAAACACACATAACCTTCTGGCACAATTTAAAATACTGTCTACTAAAGAAGCTGCGTGCATCTCTTTCTCTTTAAAGATACGGGCTAAGAAGAAATAGGAAGAAATTGGAACAGCCAGATATTCCCCAGTCTTTTGTATCTGGAAGTTAGTACAAAGCAGGGTATAAACTGGCATCAGTTAAAGACTTCTGTACTTGTAACATCTAAAACAGGAGGCACAACCTACAGTGAGACTGAAATGTCCTTTGCTCTACATTATCTTAATAGCTTCCCCTGTTGCAGAGCACTGGCAAACCTCCAGTACAACCAGCAACATGAGCACCCTAAGACTCTGTTCTGGAGAACTTTTCAGAAGCATTATTTGGCAGTACAAATTTGAGAAAATGAGTTTATTAGCATTCCCATCATCTCTAACAATTAAGAAGCTTCACTACTAGTGTATAACATTTGGAAAATTCAAGAAGGTTTTTATGTTCAACAGGACTAAAAATATCAGAAGAAAGAGCTTTTGTGAAGCAATTCAGAAATATAATCTTAACGAATGTGGTCCTTTTTTGTTGCCTTGGTTTATAGCATTTGCTGGGTACAGGGAAGGAAAAGAAAGGGAAGAAAACACATATGGATAGACAGATGGCAGCACATATATTAACAACTCAGGAAGCAAAACACTCGCCCTTCAGATCATGTTGTTTACGACTAATTACCAGCTCTCTAAGGTCACGTTAATTTTTTTTCTTAATAGTCTGCCAAAAAAATCCTACGTAAACAGTTCTGAAACATGCAAGACTAAAGCATCTTAGGATTCAGCGAAGTGCTTTGCCACTACGCTCAGGACTATTTCTGTCTGTGTTTAAACCCAGAAAGTCTTGATAGATAAAAACTGACAGACTGCGCTTTTAGTGACAGGTAGCAGCGCAGTGGGTGAGTATTTTGCATTCCCTCTAGCCTGTTTTGCTAGGCTAAAGAATCGCATTCATATGACTGTCTCCTAAAAGACTCATTCCTTGAAATTACTGGGGGCAAGCACTGATGTCAGTAAAAGCTTGCCAGTCTTTAACAACTTCAACTAGTATCTCACTGGTATTTCCCACAGGAAGAAAAGCTATTATGCCAAAACACTGACAGTAAATGACAGTAAATGCACAGGCCAATTTAATACAGGCAACCTTGCAACATGTGGGAGAACCGTCTTCAAGCAGTCCTCTATACCAGAGGAAATATCATTATGAGGATTGGAAAACATACAAAAAATGATTTTTTTCTTGAAGTTACAAACTCCTTTTTTATATCTTGGGAGATGACTGTGACAGAATAAGATTTCCAGAAATTCTGAAGAAAGAAAAAAAATTATTTCTAATGCTTTTCATCTGTTCCTTCTACCATCTCTGTTTTCAGCTTGGTACAACATAAAACCACTTTCAGTCCTTGACAGATTCCTTGCTGTGCCTGTATCAACAGCTTTAAGTCTCAATCCCTAAAAAACCTTTGCGTACAATTAACACACTTTTTAACAGCACCTTAGCAGTCCTTTAAAGCTATCTAGTACTGACAGCTGTCTCTTAAAATAATATTGTATCCTTGCCACACTCTGCTAATAGTCTTAACCACTTTCTTTGGGTCTCAGTTGAGAAGCAATTCTGGTAATCAGAGTCTTTACCTTCTCTGAGCCCACATCTTTAAAGGCAAGTCAGGTTCACAGACACAAAGTCCAGAACAAAACTACATTTGACTGCAGTTATTATTAAAAAAGATACAGATAGAAGACAAATAGCTTCCAGATTACATCCTATTTGTAAACTGCGTATTTCCATAAGAAAAGCATACTGTTCTTATTTCTGTTCCTTTTATTTTGCTACCTTGTGCACCTTTGCTTTGGAATTTGATAGAAAATTTACTTAACTGCTGCATCGGATTAGCACTTACAGCACAAGCCTCCGCAGGATACAGCATCAGATTCCCTACAGCTCCTTCCAGAACCCTCCCCACAGCACTCATGGGAACGTGACTTTATTGGAACATCCTCCTTATCGTTATCTTTCATTTTAATATGACAACCAACAAGGAAAACACTTGAGATTTAAGAGGCATACTACCAATTACGCAGAAATGTGAACAGAATAAAAAAAAAATAAAGGGACCCAATTCAGTCTTGGCCTTGCAAGTTACTCTCATTTATCTTACTATAGTATTCAGATTTTATCAGTGTGCATTTCTTGTATGTCCTTGTATAACTTCTGATGCATCACTTCAATTTATAAAAAAAAAAATCACTAAACCATATTCCTGAGGACCATGTCAACCCATTTTTTGAACACCTCCAGGGATGGTGCCTCAACCACTTCCCTGGGCAGCCTATTCCAATGCTGGATAACCCTTTCCGTGAAGAAATGTTTCCTAATATCCAATCTAAACCTCCCCTGGCGCAACTTGAGGCCATTTCCCCTTGTCCTATCTCCTGGGACTTGGGAGACGAGACCAACCCCCACTTCTCTACACCCCCCTTCAGGTAGTTACAGGGTGCGATAAGGTCTCCCCTCAGCCTCCTCCAGACTGAACAACCCCAGCTCCCTCAGCCTCTCCTCATAAGACTTGTGCTCCAGACCCCTCACCATCTTTGTTGCTCTTCTCTGGACCTGCTCCAGCACCTCAATGTCTTTTTTATGGTAGGGGGCCCAAAACTGGACACAGTACTCAAGGTGAGGCCTCACCAGTGCCGAGTACAGGGGGACAATCACCTCACGGGCCCTACTCTCCACACTGTTCCTGATACAGGCCAGGATACCATTGGCCTTCTTGGCCACCTGGGCACACTGCTGGCTCATGTTCAGCCGACAGTCGACCAACACCCCCAGGTCCTTTTCTGCCAGGCAGCTCTCCAGCCACTCTGCCCCCAGCCTGTAGCGCTGCAGGGGGTTGTTGTGACCCAACTGCAGGACCTGGCTCTTGGCCTTGTTGAAACTCATCCTGCTGGTCTCAGCCCATCGATCCAGCCTGTCCAGATCCCTCTGCAGAGCCTCTCTACCCTCCAGCAGGTCGACACTGCCACCCAGCTTGGTGTCGTCTGCGAACTTACTGAGGGTGCGCTCAATCCCCTTGTCCAGATCATTGATAAAGATCAAGGTTGCACAGAAATTATTTTTAATGTATTACCAATAAAAACAGTTTCATGTGCAAAGGGATAATACTTATTTATTCATTCTCAGTTAAGTTCTGTAACTAGTAACCTCACATCCTTTAATTTTCTGTATTCTTCTGCAGCATCAATCATGCTGGATGAAGAACATATCGAAGAACCACTACTAACTTCCATGTGGCTCCAAAATTGCCATACTCAGATTCAACAGCACATTGCCTGAGTCAAAACTTACCTCACAAAACATCAGTAGACAGAAGCAAATAAAAACTTCAGCATTTCTTAATAGTTTTTTAATTCCATCTTAACTGATCACTTACTAGTTTCATTTTGTAGAGCAGTTTCTTCTTTTTCAATTGTTACCAGTAAACTTTCAGTGAGATCTGCTCTTTTGCCCACAATTGCAAAGCCATTCCAAACGTACATCATTTCCTGACAAAAAAAACAAACAAGACAGACTCATGGAATCACATAAATATTTAACTGAAGATTATCTCTTGGAAGGCTGTTATGGAGTATTTTAAGCACATAAAAATACTGCCTACAAAACCTGTTTTAAACAATATCAAGGTTTCAAAGCCAAAACACTCACTGTTGAGAACCCCATGAATAAAAGTATCTGTATGACTTCAAATAACTACCCACAATGGGTATGGGACATCCTCTCAGTTACACACCAGTTTGCAAAGACAATCACATTTGCATTAATAATAATTTAATTTGGATTGCATAAGAGTATTTATGTATAAGCGATACAAAATTACACCGAATGGGTGTGGGCAAAGTTAACCTGGGTTTTTAAGTTTTTAAAGTTTCGACACCTTTTTAATGGGTTCTATCATGCGTTTTCAGAAATCTTTAAAAACAAAACTGCACAGATTTTATCACGTGATAGTTTACTATCACCTATGTAGCACAGCACATCAGCAGAACTGGGTATTTTAGGTTCAATATGTGCCTCTGCCATACGAACCGAAGCAGCAGTTGAAAGCAGTTACTTTCTACAGGATTACAGATAAATTTGTGTGTGCATTTATGTACTGTATACATATATACATGTGCACCCAAATGCATGCTCATGCGTGTGTTTATATACAGATGCTGTAATCTATAGGTAAAGTAGGTAAAACTTTCTAGATAAAAATGTGGTTTCAATACACGTTTTCCATATAATTAGTACAAAATCTTATCTTTTAAAAAAAAATCAAGGCAAATCCTGGCACAAAGCTTTCCAGATGCTTCAGTGCAATAGCAAGCAATATGTCTGTTTCAATGCATTAGGTATTATCACATTGTAACACATAAAGAGAATGAGAGAAGAGACATGCAGAGTTAATGCTAATCAACACAAAACTTTGCCAAGATCTTTACTCAGTCATCGCAAATGTAAGAGTATTATTTGTTCTACTGTACTGTACTACTATACTGAAATATAAAGCCTGATGCCATGCTGAAGCTGATACAATACACTGTTGAAATATTTCCATTTATATTTGTGCCATGATGATGTGGGTTTCAGAGGGAGAAAAGAAATCATTCTATCAATGCCTGAAATAGCGTTATTGACACTATCGAGTACCTTATGCTAGATTTGTTTTAATTCTGCAGTCCTAATTTATGCTTACTGCATTCACACCTGACACTACGTTTATTTTAGCTTAACTCATGATGGAAAAATTTTTAAATTAAAAGATACTGGATTTGACAGCAAGACCAAGGATAAATATGCTCACAACTGAATAGCACTGTGCTGTTACAAGCCCAGGACGGCTTTACTGCTTAGGTCTTTCATGCAATCGAGTATACAATGAATTTTTAAAACTGACGGATTAGTTTTCTTTGGACTCCTCTTTCTATATCAATGAGCTGTAACATAAGAAATTTCTTCTCAAATTATGTTTTTCATCTTCAGTTGCTGCTAAATGATCCATGCAGAAAAATTTTAGTATCACATATACAAAATACCATTGCTGTGCACACATAAACAGACTGCGCACGACTAATGCTTCTAAGTTAAAAGCATGGGACATTAGAACAGCATTCACAAAGTATCATTAACTCCTGCATGTTTTACTCAGACTCAATATAAGGAAAAAACCCACAAACCAAAAACATCCCATCGCTCTTTGTTTTAACCAGAAGAACAAAAAGTACTGATGTACTCCTTAACTTCCTTATGAGTCTGGAGGACCAGGTCTGAAATCCTGCCAAACTAAACAGCATGAACATATATGCTAGAAACCCACACAGATTTCTTGCTGAAAGGTGACTTTCAGCTTCATGTGGCAACAGCAATCATCCTCTGTATGTTTGAACTCCCACATGAAAAAATCTGACTCCGGTTTTGGACTGCTTGTAGTTAGTAGCATGATCTAGCCCCTAGTACAAATCACAAAAATCCCACTGCATTATGGGATCAGCCAGCAATGTGCTCTTATGGCCAAGGCGGCCAGTGGCATCCTGGGGCACATCAGGAAGAGTGTGGCCAGCAGGTCGAGGGAGGTTATCCTGCTCCTCTACTCTGCCCTGGTGAAGCCCCATCTGGAGCACTGTGTCCAGTTCTGGGCTCCCCAGTACAAGAAGGACAGGGAAATGCTTGACAGGATATAGCAGAGGACCACAAAGACGATTAGGGGCTTGGACCATCTCTCTTACAAGGAAATGCTGAGGGACTTGGGTCTTTTTAATCTGGAGAAGAGATGGCTGAGGGGGTGATCTGGTCAACTCCTATAAATCATAGAATGGTTTGGGTTGGAAGGGACCTCAAAGATCATCGAGTTCCAACTCCCCTGCCATGGGCAGGGACACCTCCCACTAGACCAGGTCGCTCAAAACCCCATCCAGCCTGGCCTTGAACACTGTGTATGGGGCATCCACAACTTCCCTGGGCAACCTGTTCCAGTGTCTCACCACCCTCATAGTAAATTTCTTCCTGAGATCTAATCTGAATCTTTTTTCTTCCAATTTAAAACCGTTGCCCCTTGTCCTATCACTACACTTCCGGGCAAAGAGTCCTCAGCTCTTCTATAGGCTCCCTTCAGGTATTGAAAGGCCGCTATAAGGTCTCCCCGGAGCCTTCTCTTCTCCAGGCTGAACAATTCCAGCTCCCTCAGCCTGTCTTCATAGGAGAGGTGCTCCATCCCATACTTAAATGGTGGGTGTCAAGAGGATGGGGCCAGTCTTTTTCTGGTGGTACACAGTGACAGGACAAGAGGAAATGGGCACAAACTTGAATGTAAGAAGTTCCATCTAAACATGAGGAGGAACTCCTTTACTTTGAGGGTGGCAGAGCGCTGGAACAGGCTGCCCAGAGAGGTGGTGGAGTCTCCCTCTCTGAAGACATTCAAAACCTGCCTGGACACGTTCCTGTGCAACCTGCTCTAGGAGGACCTGCTTTGGCAGGGGGCTTTGACTAGATGATCTCTAGAGGTCCCTTCCAACTCCATGTGATTCTGTGATTCTATTAATGCAATAATTCTTAAAAATAAAATTTTAAAAAAAGCAGACATACACCACCTGCTAAAGTATAATTCATTATACAGGGAAAGAATAATGTGTTTCTTTTCTACTTGAAATGGACAAAAAGAAAGCAAGCATAAATACCAAGGCAGGCAGTATCAGCTTCACTGGTTGAGGACTTGCATAGCGTCGAGCTTTCCTCACTGCAAACTTCTCCGTTGGGATAGATTTTCCCGCAATTCTCTGTTTTAGACCATCCACTTGTCTACAAGGAGGGAAAATGCAAAACAAAAGTTGCTTTATGTAACTTTTATTTAATCTTATTTCATTTAAGAAGATTTGCTGTTCTCCTCTGAAGTATAACATCTTTTTTCACACCACTGAGACAGCAGTTGCAGAACGTATGTTTACTGATAAAAGGAGCATTTTAAATATTATGACACTAAAAGCAAAGAGGAAAAATGGGAAAGTTGTTGGTTATAAGCAGGAATTAAGTCACACAAGACGAAGAAACTCCAGTCAAAAACTTTTATACAGGAGAAGATGACTGCACACCTAGTTGCTATATAAATATTTACCTGAATAAAGATACAATGTCCTCACCAGTCCTTTTCAAATCATCCTCTGGAAGCATACATAGAATTGCTGCTTTCTGGAATACATATATTGCCTATTTCAAAAAGAAATAGCAACATATTACCACCTCTAATTTGCTGTGTTCAGTCAATACCTTAAGGACTCAAATCTCTCAACCCACTTGCTGCAGCGAAGTGTTTCCAGTAATTCTCAGGCAGGTGGAACCATAGAATTTTAACTTTTCCTTTGTCACATAGTTTATGCTATAATTTTATTTTCAACATATTCATTAATATTCTAAATAAGTTAGAATGGTAACAGTGTCTCCTGAAAATAACAGGACAATTTATTATGCAGATCACTGATAAAAAGATGAGATTAAATGACATTATTTTAAAGTCAGCTAATGTTATTATATGATCTGTTACATCTAGAGACATGCCTGAAAAAACACAGAAGAAAATATGTGAGTACTAATTCAAGGAAGGTTCAGTAACTGGACTTTACAGAGGTAAAAAAAAAACTTCCATAATTCTATTCAAGACATTTGCACTTCACATTGAATATACTATTCTTTTCCTCTTTTGTCAAGAATTGGATGTATCCCCTTTTCCACTAAGCATAATAAAACAGTAATCTAGAAAGGAACAAACAAAAATCATGTATCAAAATTATTTGGACATTGTGCTGGGTTCATACTTTGAGAAACTGTTTTACACAGAAAAGGTCGATATCCCAAACTTTTCTTGTGAGACCTTGTCTCCAGCAGCCTTCCCACTTCATGTCGCAAAGCATCTGTTCAGTGGGCCTGCTCTCATCTGTTTATAATTAAGTAATAAACACAGTGCCTTCAGCCAAGTTTTATTAGTGAGTGTTAGAACTTGACTTGAGATGCAAGTTAACACTTTTCCTCTCCCTCTTCTTTCACCACAGCTCTGGTAAGTACCTCTGTTTTAAGAGGGGCTGAAGCATTGCTAGTTATGGCTCTAGCACTTCACAATATGAAATAAAAACTCCTCCCAGTTAAACCTACCATTTTTGGTGCCATTGTGCCTTTGGTTACGGGTTTCAGAAGAAAGCAAATGTTACACTTATTGTGTGAATGGAAATGCAAGTTTAACTGCAGAGAGGCTACTGGTACATTATAACAACGTCCACCTGCCCATTTACCTTAGACCACCTGCTCTCTTTGCTGAGCAGGTCTGCATACCGATATGCTTGAAGCCAGTTCTGCTGGAAGGTGTAGCACCACATCAATTCCCAGTAACAGAGATGATGAATCTGTTTCCACTCTTGCTGGGCTGCTATGCATTCTTGGAACCTCGATTGTGCCTACGATGCAGTTAAGGAAGAATGATGAAAATTGCCTCAATTACTGCTCCACATGAGAGCCACATCTAACTACAGAGCAAATTCTTTCCTAGCACCCAAGTGGAGAACACCTGACTAGTAAAAGGAGATGAACTCCCCTTTCCGTCTCACTTACAGAGAAAGAGAGAGAGATGGAATCAACATTGACACTGAACATGAACTGGGATAAAAACACAATTATCAGTCCAACTAAAATGAGTTACTTAGATGAATCAGATACTTTTTCCCCCTAAGTTGAGCACTGAACAAATAGAAACCTTATAAAGAAAAAAAAAATTATTTACCTTTTCAAAATTTCCTTTCAGTATATCTATTCTGGCAGCATAAAATAGAATAATGGAACCCTTGAAAGGAGATGAGAACAATACCCAGTTACTATTTTATGGTTAAGGAAGTACATTGCTGTTATAAAATTTATTGAGAATACACACATTTGGAAATTTATGGAGGTAGGGTTCAAGGAGACTGTCTGCTTCCTGAAGGTTAGCTTCCCCTGTACCTAGAAAACATAACAAACCAACCTCAATGTACTTAAAAAAAAAGTTTCATAGACTGAGATTTTAATTTCCAAGTCATATTATGGCTTAAACGGATTAATAAATGACTGCTTTTATGCAAAAGCAGAATTATTGCATCATATTGTGTTTCTATAAAAATGAATTATTGTCCTGAAGGTACTAAATGTTTTTGAGATTACAGTAAATATCTGTAAGTAGAAACAGAATAGAATATGTGAATGTTCTTTAAACTGTTCCATTATAGATCCTAGTTATATTTTTAAATCCCTTTAATTGCTTTAGCAAGTTAGGAAAATGTTCCTCAGCTGCCTCCTTTCCTAATTTTGAGCTCAGTAATGAAGTACAGGTGATACTGAAAGAAATGAAGTTCTCCTTAATTTCCTGATGAGCCTGAGGGACATGGACTAAAATACTTTCAAACTAAAGAATGTGAAAATATGTCAAAGATGCATACAGAATGAATGGTGACTTTTAGCCCCATTTAGCAAAAGCAATTAATTCTCCATATGTTTGAACTTCCAAATAAATTGTTTGGGAGTACATACTTCTTTCTGGAGATAATTTTCACAATATCTGACATTAATTTATGGATAAGGACTTGTCTGAACTTAAAAATGTTTTGTGGTATTTTGCTGTCACACATTGAAACAGCCCATGACATGGAACAAGATGTTGGCTTACGGTATCCACCCTCACCATTTCTGCAGACATAGCTTTGCCAGAGATACTCATTTCAGGTCATAATTAAGTATACAGCAATCTCCTGTTACAAAGCTAATTGGCCACAGTTCCAAAATTCAGTTCAAGATCACAATAGCTATCATAATGTGTAGCATGACTGAACAGCTACACAGTGGGTCTCACCAAGGATTAAGGAGACGTAAGTATGATAAACCAACAGGGTGAAAGTACACAGAATGGCCCTCAAACTGCTGCCAGATGCGCCTTCACGTAGTTGACAGAGGCCCAACTCCTAAGAAACATCACAAACACATGCAGAATTAACTATCAGTATACAGAGTTACTTTTAATAGTTTCTGGCTCCCCCAAATCCAGTTTTCCTTTCAGATTTCGTAATTCAGCATTTTGTTATCTGAGATGCACACAACCTTCTACCAAAACAGTTCTGCCACAGCTGATAGCACTCAGCAAGGAGAAGATTAAGCTAACACTGAATAAAATTACACATGCATTTCAGTGCTCTAGTGAAATGGGAACACCACATAGACCATGCAGACACACAGGTCTACATCCCTTCCCCACTATTTTCTGGCCTTTCAGAATAACATCTTTTAAATCTGTATTTGATAAAAATCTCTCTCAACTGCTCCAGTGCTCCTTGCTGGCAAGTTTTCCTTCACAGAAATCCCCTGTTATCCTCATTTCTCTTCCAACAAGTCAGGCACCATTTTGAAGTTCTGATCAAAATATGACCTCTGCTGACACAGCAACTTCTAGACACCATTTCCAGAAGCTACAACGGAATTTGTGTGTGCTGAGAAAACGGATCCAGATTCATGCAGACTTATTCAGCTCTTAACACGTGAAACTTCTTCCCATCCTTCCCAGTTTATGGGACATGACAGCTTGACTGCCTGAGGATTGTTGAGATGAGCTCAAGAGCAGTGGCTCTTCAGAAGAGTATCAGATTTTAACATTTTTGCCTTCAAACAAATACTAACTTAACAGAAGTTTTACTGCATAGCAACTTTAGCCATCATAGGAGAATTAAAAAAAAAAATGAAACCACAAAAAAAAGTGTGATACTCCAAAATTGATTGTTCTTTTCTTTTCGGCATTTATTGCCTTTTCAGTCAGGGCAAAAATGCTTATTTTGGAAGAGCTTTAGTATGAACCAGGTCTTGCACAGGAAGAAAAAGAATGAACAGGTCTCTACTGAAGTCTAATTTTACATAAGCAGAACCATATTTGTGGACAAACTAACAGCAGTAAGACCATATGGTGACTCATTGTCTAACAAATAACTTCAAGTTTAGTTACCTACAATTCTGTGGGTTGATTTGTTTGGTTTGTTGTTTGGGGTTCTTTTATTTCTTAAGGGTGGCAAAAAGTTTTAAAGGGCTATGTTTACAAAAACAAGGCTATGATTACAAATACTTTCCTCGTACATGAGGAAGACGTACTGAGATTCCACAGGGACATATGGTATTCAGAAATTCCTTCTACCAATGAAATGGGAAGGGACTGTGGGTGGAAAAATGTAGAACTATGACTTTCTCCTCAGTTACTGGGATGAGAAACATTACTTTCTGAACGCATAGGCTTGAAAAGAAAGCTGATAAAAAGAAAGCTCTCCTTAAGGAGCAGCAAAAGGAAGGAAAATTGCAATTTGAAAACCCCCTCTAAAGCAAACCCGTCATTTCCCATGTTTGTTCAATATTAGGATATCACCATATGTGCTTTTATGCCTGCATCATCTAGCTAACTTCTCATCTTTTCAATCACACTAAAATACTGATAAACAATACAGATCATTATAATTTCTAGTGTGAAATATATCATGCTAGATCCATCCAGTCTTTATCTGACAGAAGACTAATTTGAAAAAACAAATATCAGATCCAATACCCTATTGCCAGAAAATCCAATAAATTCTAAAAGTCGAAGAATCCTTCCTGGTAGAAGTGACAGCATCTGAAATACATTTCAAACAAAAATAAGATAAGTAAAAACTTACATACATTTAAAAAGAAAAAAGCATAACCACTATAAACTTGAGCCAAAAACGCCGGCTACTATATTAAATACCATTATACATTAGTCAAAAAGTAAACCACAGAAGAACTCAAAAATAGACACGCATGACCAACAATATACAATTAGTCTGCAGCTTCAGGGAAATTCAGATTTTTGATTATCATCCAGCATGGAAACAGCAAGACAGAGCCCAGCTGTGCTCCTTTAGATAATGAGAGATTTTTCTGTCTTCAACTGATCAGAATTGTCTGAAAATTGTGGGTCATTTGGAATGAAAATATTATGTGCTTTAGTAGTACTTACAATCTACAATTGTCATCTTCCTTCACTCCCAATCAAATGACACATGGGTATCACAAAAGTTCTACTTGTTCCTACTGTGGGAGCACTGAATTAGCAGACTAGCAAGCATCCTTGTTTTAGAAATACTAGCTATTGTTACCATCTTTTAGCCCTCTATTACAGGCATGTTTTGTTCCCCTTGTAACTGCATTCTCCACATCCTAAATAACAGAAAACTTACGAAAATCACAACCACCTTTCCAACAAGCATTACAAGAAGGTTTGTGCTTGAAAGCTGCACTCATCCTAGTAGATTCTGCCCAGCAGAGACTTTTCTATTAAGCTTCCTACTGAGGAGATTTCATGAAGAATAGGGAAGGTCAGAGCACTTATGAACACAGACATCTACCAGCTTCTTGGGTTTTGTTGGCTGACCAAGTGCAGACAGACTTATTCTGACCATACTCAAAACTGGCCAGCTCCAGCCTGGAATGACACAGAAACTAACATACAAGTAGAAATCAATTCTCACCCTTGCCACAAGAGACGTGAAAAGGCAACTGTAGTAAATTGTAAAGAAAAACGCTAGTGGATGCGCTCGGTTTTCATTTGCACAAACTCAGAACACTGCTGCTCACTCTTCTGACTTTGTAATTACCTATGTCACTGGCTCCAAAGAATGGTATATATGGGGGTGTTAGAATAAAAGCAGTCACTCCAGGTATGCTGTAAGCACCTGTATAAGCATCTTAAAAATTCCGGCTACACACAGATAAATGTAACTGCTTTTCCTTTTAAGAAATACATAAATTAGTCCAAGAGAATTAAATGTAATTCAGAATAAGTTAGTGGAAAAATCCTAGAAGACATGCATGCAGAAAGCCACTGCTGTTTTCATATTTCATAAAACCTTCAAAGCCTGTATCTCCATTTTATAAATGTGTAATTTTTAAAACAGGATTACAGTATCTTATCTGCAAATAATCCTACAGAGTTATCCCAACACCCTTTCTGTAGTCTGAAAAAGTCATACCAAGTTGAATGCTCCGATTCCAAGTTTCACTCCACCTTCAAACTGGTAATAAGTTTCAATTTTGCTTTTGTTCCCCTGAGTCATCTGTAGCACCTGATGACATTCTCTTTTGATGCAGGAAAAAAAAAAAGAGGGAGGGGAAAAGGGGGAAACATGACTTAGAAATTATATGAAGTATAACCATTACAATTGCTGTAAAAGTATTTCTTTTTATTTTGGAGGATTAATGCAACTGCACCTGCTTATACCAACATTGAATCTAAGTGCTTTCTAATGGCTTACTTGTATATTTGGTAACTTGTCCTAATTTTGAGGCCACCTTTGATAAAGTTGATCATATTTTCATCCTGGAAGAAAAAAATTAATTGTACAAAAATCTGCATTCAACTATTACAGTATTCCAGTAAAATTTACATCTATTTATAACTTAAAAGTTAATATTAAATATTATAGGAAATAGTAAAAAGGTTTTTCAATTATTAGACTCATCCCTTAGATGGAAGTTAACACTTGCTTTAAGTTGTCAGGGAAACTTCTCAAGCACATGTTACAAGCCTTAAAACTTAAGGGGGGGGTGTGTGAAAAAAAGTCACTTTCAACAGAATTTCCAACGCGTATAAATGAAACAAGAAAGATCTCCACCAGATGGTGCTGTAGCACCCTTTTATGAAAGTTTTGAACTACCAACTCTGACACACACAAGCCAGCCCAGGACATGGCAGAAGACAAACCTGCCAAAGAGTCCTCTGAACATGAATTCCCATTGCTTATCAACATTAATCACACATACTACCCAACATATGTGCTTACTAACCTGTAGAAAAATCAAAGTAAAACCACAATGCGCTAGCCATCAAAAATAAATTCCTGAAAAGCAAGATGGCTAACAGCTCAACAAGACAATTTTTTTCTCTTAGCATTCAGACAGAAGGAGAACATATGCAGGCATTTCAGAAATGCACGTTTAAATACTTGGGCACAGCATATACGATGTGGAAAGTGAAAAAGCACAAAAAAAGCCTCAGAACCATCAACAGAAATTCTGGCTTCCATAAAAGGGTCACCATTTCAAAAGAGCGGAACTGTTTTCCCTGCAGGACTGAACACCCAAACTCAAGTGTTTCAGTGCAAGCACTCTTGCTACCTGTTTCTAAATGGTTACATTTTCATTATCATCATCATCCTCAGATGAATCAAGATCAGTCAGTGATGAAAAGCATGAGGTATGACAGCAATCAGCAGAGCAGGGTACTCTAGTCAACAGCAATGGATCTCTGACATGATGGATAGCAAGGTGCTGCTTTAAAGAAAGTACACGCCTAAGGTTTGGGGTTTTTTTTTCATTTGATACAGTCCTAAATTCACCTCCTTCAATAATTGTTTAAAAGTTCTCTCCACACCTGGAAAAAAAAGCCCACTCACAAAACAAAAGAGGGTTGCTTCCATTTGGTTAGTAACTATAAAAAAAAAGTTATAGGAAAGACTAGCATTCCATTGATAATGTTTCCTGGCACTCCTGGTCAAAGTACTGTATTAAGTGGTTTACAAAGCTTTGCCAAATTAACTTTTTACGTCCACTTGATCTCAGTATCTTTGTGCCTCCAAAGGGATTATTTCAAATACATTCATTAAAATATTAGTAAAACACCCATGAAAAAAAAAAAGTGACTTAACTGTTTTCAAGAATCAAATTTCAAATAGAATTTGAAAACACAGTAGCATGAAGTCCCTGAACCACAAGCCAAACAGGAAGCTCTACAGAGTATTAAACAACAGATCTTTCAGTGAACTGTATTGTTACCTCAGCAAAGCTAAGGAAAGCTCATTTTATAATCATTCATTACTATACTGCTCCCGATAACATGTGAGAAGTGTGTGGAGAGTGACACTGAATCAGAGATAAGTGTGCATCAGTTCAAGTTTTGTTCGTTGGGAAACATTTTATCCTTTCTGTGTGAAAAAAGACTTGCACTTTCAAACAAGACATTTGCTGACACTTGATCATCCTTTTAAACAAGTGCTGGATGCTCTCAGATGTGACGTAAATCATTTAAACATACCATCTGTGTAAGACTGCAATATACCTTAGGTTCTTGGTTCCTGGGTATCAATAACATCACTGGTTATTCATATAAACAAAGAGAGGATTTTGCTGGGTAGCACAGCATTTACCATACTTACAGTTGCTGCCATAAAATAACATTCATTCACTAGGAAGAAGTTTGTGTTTCAAACAGCATATCTATTGTGGGAACGACGTTTTACAACTACTAATTTCTTTCCATTAAACTGATACACAGAGATACAAAATAAACAATCGATGTTACCTGTACGAAGGTGAGAGCTGCCTTCTGTAGTAAGCATTCAGCATAGCAGATTTCAGCATGCATTTCCTCTATATAAGAAAGAAAAGTTATTTACTATCAGAGAAGTTATTGTCAATGTTTTATTTATTGCAAAAAAAGAGAACAAATAAAATGCTCTCAAGAAAAGAAAAAAAAGAAGATTCTGCTGTTGTTGTTTTGACAACTGGAGTATACTAGCTGTAACACACAAATCCCAATAGAAGCAGTAATTGGGAAGCTAGCTAAAAATAGTCTTCTATCTCACTTCTCCTCAGACAACACCTTTGATCTTGCCAGAACTGACTTTAGACTAGGGCAAAATGACTACTTGTCATTCTAGCGGATGCTCTCCTGTACTTCCATTGATCCTAAGTTTAAGTGTCAGCCTACAGCAACTAGTTCTTCCAACCCTCCTTCCACGACTTAGAAAAAAAACTTTTACAGATGAATAGTAACACTCACTGTGGCTCAGGCTTTTTCCAAGTCCAGTAAGACACTACAAAGGGGTTTTCACCAAGTCATGCTCAGCAAAACAAAAGCACCAGGCGGACTTTCTGTCCTCATGCAGCACTGAAGTACATTTGACTTAACAGACATGAGACAAATTACCCTGCACCCATGCTGCAAGACCAGCCGCATGCACAAGGCTGCTGTATGTAGAGTGCACACATGGTGAGCTCGACGTGTCCAGTACTAAAGAGGATTCTTTTGTGTCAGGTTAGAAAAAAAAAAAAATATGCATACTTGATTCTGCCCCAATCAGAAATAGGAGATCAGCATTTTCAGAGCCATGAACAATGTACTCATACCATTTCCCAAAACACCTTGAGGCAAAACAGACAAGCGCAAAACTTGTTAATATATTCAGAATCCAATGCAACTAATGATACGGACTTATCCCACAGCACAGATTATTAAACTTCTGGAAGCTGTCTTCAGTAAAACTCAAAAAAACAAATCCAAAAAAACCCCAAAAAAACCTCTCTCTTCACTCCTGCACTGTGAAAGGCTAAAAGCATTCCTTTCTTAATTCAAACATGCTCAGAGCCAAAAAAAAAAAAATTTAAGCTGAATCCCCTATTTTGGGAAGCTTTGCATTCAAATATAAAAACCCCACCCTTTAGGTGGTTAAGTATATTAGTACATGTTGGTAGGATGTTTTTGAGCCTTTTTTTGTTTTCATTTCATTATAAAGCACTTACCTTCACTTAACTGATCCGCTGACTGTTTAGAAACTAGATTGGACAAGGATTCCACCACTGTGTTTCTTTTTCTGAATCTAAATCGGTTGTACACAGAGGAAAAGAAACGCACACAGCATGACCAGTATTTCAACACAAATTTGAATTAATTATAAATTTTAAACCACAATTTATAGACATTCTTATTAAAAGGATGATTTGCCAGTAGTTGTAATTCTTTGAGTTGTCTAATCGTGGCCACTGGTACGCATCTAGACTCAGGAGCCTATCCAACCTTGACTGATGTTCCAAGCATGCATTTCATCTACTTTAAGTGTACAAGAGCTTCCATCTGACTTCCATCCACCAGCGGCAGAGGTCTCTGACGCTGGGCAAGCCACTTGAACTGGACTTAATAACTATATGGAATTTTTCCATATATAGATATATATTTTTCCATATCTTAAGCTTGTGCTCAGAATTAGAATGAAAAATCAACCAGAGCTCTACGACTTCAGTATCTTATGACATTTTATGCCAGATATGATGCCAAGGTCACATATTTTACTGTCAACAGATCTCAACTGTCCATGTTATAAATTGCTAGTTTATTTTAGTATGACATTCCAAAAATGAATTAATTATATTTACAAACAGCTCAACATGATGAAGCAGCTAAAGAAACAATTCTACATTCAGCAGAGAAATGTATTTTGTAATGCAGGAAGTCACTAATTATAAATACTGAGCATTAGCTTACCATTGGTTCACAATCTTTTGCACATTGAAAAGTACAGAATCCTGACAACAAGATTATGACACTACATGTTAACATAACACATACCAAAACCATGTTCAATTAAGACACACACATGTAGTTCTGGCAATTCTTCACTTTTGAGTTGTTTGATTGTCTTTATCTCACTTTTTTTTTGAGTTTTGTGACAGACTAGAACAGAGCACTTATGCATAGAAGTTTGTATCCTGCAGGTACATCAGCTCTTATTGAAACTATCTGAAGTACAAAGAGGCACCTAGTTTTCAGACATACTACAGAACATAGTTCAGAGGAAACTGTGAAACAATAGCACACCTGAAAAAGAGGCAGAAACTGCTGAGCCTTATTTTCTTCAGTTAGTATCTAATAATTTTGACCCATTTCCTTTTCTTTTGTCATTGCTAAGAAGCTGATGATAAATGCCTAAACTAAGAACATTTGGAGGCAATTCTTTTGGAAACCATTCATGATAAATTATGACTTAATTAGTATGATGAAAAACCGGTACAATAGAATAAAGCACTCCTTTCTGATTTTGTCATAGGTTTGTTAAGCATTTTAGCTTTGACAACCCATTTTCTAAGGTTTTTAATTAAAAAAAAAAATAAAGGTCACTAATAATTTCTTTCTACTCTATTTCATTGCTGTTCCAAGGTTTGTAACATTCCTGATGGCAGTAAAAGCCCTTTAATTTTAAGGTGCCTAAACATTTACATTTGTAACAGTAATTTTAAAGTTATATAGTTTTAGAAGAAACTTCAGTATAAGCTTAATCCTATCAGACTTTTGGATCCACTTTTGAAAACAACTTTTTTTTTTTTTTAAAAAAAGAGTATTTTCATGATGAAAGAGAAAATTCAAAATATGGAGCTTTAAAATTCTTGATCCCCATGGAAAAAAAGAAGTCATAAGTTTAAATAACTCGGGCAGTTCAATCACGTAGTGTCAGCTCACATGTAGGTCTATGCAGCCATTCAGCCACTTAAATAACTTCAAAGTCTAAGCATGTGCAGAGCCAACAAGTTCTTTTTTTCCCCAAATACTAAGAAATACATCCTTACCAATAATAATTGGATAGCGACACTTCACCTTTCCAAATTTAGATCACCATCATACTGGCAATAGCCTTCTTTGAAAACATACAGGCAACTGGGATATCTTACAAGGAACACTTACTGAATTAAGTACCTCATTGCTTGTGCTTACCTTTGGCAGGTTTGCAAAGCTTCCTTCATTGTAGAAATTCCCATTTGTATATCCTGCTGTTCAAAGGTCATAGCAGCTTGCATTACTAAAATCGTGCTGTACCCAAGGGCATGGTACATACTATCTTTAGACCTAGGGCAAACATATGTTTTGTGCATTAAGCAAAACTCTAAATTACAATACAAAATTTAATGCTGAGACTTTGCCTTAATTTGTGAAAAGGTAGAAGAATAAAGTAGCAAACTAATAGACATGAAAATATAGCCTAGCAAGTATCACCTTCCTCTGGGTGATACACATCTGCCTTCACAGGATACTGTCACAGTAAGTTCCAGAAAATATCCCATCTGGGTTACACAAATATTTGCACTTAATTATATGCCATTTATAGTCCGCTGGTATATCTATTTAATTTAGCCAATTAAGCCTTGACATAAATACTCAACCATCTGCTTTCACGGAACATAAGTAGTAAGAACATCTTTCTGAGATTATTACTCAGTCCAAAGTTACAAAAATCCACATTTGTGTCACAGAAGAGCCAGTACGCATATGCTCAGTCCTGCAGAAGAGGCTACATTGAACCACCCTGGATTTCTCCACATAATTACACCATCAAAAAAAAAAGATTGTTGTTGGAATACGGCTACTGAATGTCATATAGTCAAACCTACCAGTTGCAGCAGCACTATTGGGAATGTCATGTCAGGTGAACTCAGGTTTTGTCTAAACAAGTTTCAAGAGGTTCAAGAAAATCAAGACTGCATACCCCTCTGGCAGCCTCTCTGATACTATACTATCAATGTACCTTTTCCTAATGTCCAATTTTAATCTCTAAGCCTCAACTTGTGGTGACTGCCTCTTGTTTTACCATCTACCGCTACGGAGAAAGATGTCTCTCTCTTTGCAGTTTTCTCTCAATAGCCCCAAACTACTACGAGATTAATCACCAAGACTTCTTTTTGCTAAACTGAAACAAACACAGGTCTCACAACCCCACCGATTGTTGTAGTCTTCTAGCCATGCTGCCAGCCCTCTGTTGGACCCTCTCCAGTTTCCTCAACTTTTTCCTTCCCCCTAAATCAAGAAGCCACCTGTCAAGCAGTTTTTGAAGACAGAAAATTTTGGCAGAATCCCAGAAGACAGACCCTTGGGATAAGTGTTTATTTCTAAAATATATCAACATGTCCCTAAAATTTTTACATTATTTAAGGACTTAAGTTTAACTTTCATTAAAAAGCTATTTTTCAGTAAAACAATCGGTCTTGTTCTTTTTTAAAGGTGGCTTTTTGTTTCCTTGCTAAGCTAGGTCCTCCTTTGCAGATTAGCTGAATATGCTATCTAAGAAGATCAAAGTCTATGAGGCAACAGGAACTCAAAGCATCAAAACCATGGAGTTCAGAATATTATTTTTTTCTTCATAGCAAATGTTAACTAAGACAAATACTTCACTGCAGATAAAAACACCATTGTATGAAACAAGTGGGTTTTTGTTTTACAGTGCAAAAAGAAATAAATACGAAACATAAAGATTTGGGTAATACGTATGTGTATTTAGTAATACACACATGCACAATCCTTGCATGTAGGATTTAGTATTTTGCAATACTACCCCAAAATAGTTTAGCATACACAAGTGCAGGTGGGCCTTTCAAAGCATTGCCCTATTACAAGTAACACTGGACAACGCTCAGAGAAAAGAACTTGTGTGTAAGTATAGCTAATTTATTCCTGCCTAACTTCTCTACACTTGAGCTCCCCATACCATTAAAAGCAAACACTGGATAGCTGTGTCATCCTCCCAAGATTTTGTTTAATGTTGGTCTTAAACTCTAGCAGAGAAATTCAGTGCTTCATTAACGGGTTTTGCAAACATCTTAAGGAGAAACAAGTGCACTGCTAAAACCCAAAGACACTGAGAAATGCCTTTGGACAAATGGGAATAAAAGAGAACTAGTATATCTTCAGAGGCTTTAAATTAGTCTTCAGCTACCAGATAGCACACTTTACACTATCTGTTTACAGTAACTTCAGCAAATAACAGGACCTCACCATGGACGAAGTAGTTCCAGGGCTTCAGAGAACTTATTGTTTAGAAATAAGTTCAGTGCCATTGAACACTCTTCCAGAGCACACTTGAGATCCATCTTGGATGCCCTAAAAAAAAAAAAAAAGATTCCTAGTTTAGTCAAATTGGAAACATAAACATAAAATTTTTTTTTTTTTTTTCCTTTTACAACACAGGAGTTCTTTTATAGCAATTTCATTACTTGATTTCAAAATCTAGCTTTATAAAAACAAGTCATATGCTTAACACATTATTCATGCTACATGGGTGTGTCCTCTTTGCTTATTCAAGTGATGTTTATGGCTTTGTCCTCCTTTTTTTTAACTGGTCAATATGCAGTGGAGTAATTTTTTGCTGTTACTTATGCAATACAAATATTCAAAACTTATCACCGTGTCCAAGCTCTCAATTCTCTGTATCAGTACAAATGCAGTTTCAGATTCTGTACTCGGGTCTAAATCTCAGAAGAGATGACAAAATAATATTTTAATCCAAGAAAGCAGTAAATAGACACTCGCTCTGCAAACAGCTACACCAAAAATAGTCCTGTCAGAAGCCTGCAGCTATGCCAAAAGCTTTTGTTCTTCCTAATTCACTTCAAGTAAAATCACTTGCACTTGCTTAAGAGGAAGCCATCTAACAAAACTGCTACCTCTGCCAGTTTTGTCTGAAAGGCTCAGGAGCACTCACAAATTGCTCCTTGAACAGAATGGGTGACAAACTGGACATTTGTGGTCATGACGAATACCTAGAAGCTACACAGCCTTCAATGTGCACAGCTGGATGGGGAAAAGATAATCTGTCTACCCCTTTAGAACAACAAGTTCAGGCTCTATAATGGGCTTTATCCAAGTAAGGTTAAGCAGTAGCAAGCAATAGATCATGTCAATGAGATGAATATTTAAGTGCTGACCAGAAGAAAAGAATGCTGAAGAAGGAATTTAAGAAGAGAAACAACAGGGAAGTGCAGCTGGTCTAAATCTGACAGGAACACACACACACACCAAAAATCAGGAAAAAGGGGGACACAAAAATATGACTGGACAGGTTTTTATACATAGAGTCATCAACTTTCCCCACCCTCCTACTCTCTCAATCACCCAAAAGCTTTAAAAACACTGGCTCTGGCTTTTGTAAGCCTTCTGGGGCAGAAAATCGGGATAACGCTAGATGACATCCCAAAACTCTTTTTCAGCTTTATTTTATGTCATTTTTAGTGGCAGTACTTGAAAAATTCATCTTTTGTAGAAAAATAAAATCTCTAATTCAATACTCGGCCCAGTCCTGTTCAACATATTCATAAATGACCTGGACAAGGGGACATCTTGCTCTTCATAATGAAGTCGTGAATAGCAGTTTTACCACCAGACTGTTACCAAAAATTTTAAAGACAATTTAAATACCTTTATTGTCTTCCATTCTGGGACTCAACCTGACTATGACGTATACAGTTTTAAGATCTATGTAGTTTTATGTAGCAAAATCCTATGGCTCTTAAAAACCAAAGCAGAGCTGCAAATGCTGTTACCCTTAGCCACTCGCTAAGCCTTCAGGTCCTTTGGCTGTGCAGATGCACCAGGTGTTCTCAAGGCCCAGCTCTCCAACAGAAGCGCCACTGTCACACCAGCAGAGAAGGGGCACCTTCGTGATCCAGTCACCCACAACAAGTGGGCCAGCAAAGTGGCCACCTCTCTTCCCACACACGCAGGGTTCCAGCCAGCCCATCACACCCCAGGCTTCATCCCAGCACCTGGGCCTCAGTGGGCCTGTGGAACCAGCACTGCGACATGGCCCGTGTTTGCCCTACTACACCGGGTACAGGCTCCAAAGACTTTATGAGCCTGCTATTGGAGAGCAAGTCTACATTTATGTTCTCTTCATTGCTGGCCCATGTCCCCAGTGACATTCTGTCTTGTTGCTATTATCAATTCATGTTCTCTCACTTAAATACCCTTAAGCAACATACCTAAACTGCCTTCCAGTGTCCTTAAAAGTACTTTAGGGAACTTATTGTACAGCACATTTACTTAGATCTATGTATAAACACACAAGCCCCAGTAACAAATAAAAATCCCTCAGATAAAGCAATAGCAGTATCTTTTCTCCTTCTGCAGGGACAGAAAAAAAAGTTAGGATCCAGTTGCTGTTTATATACCACTCTTTATACCCTAGCCTACACTGTAAAATATAGAACATAAAGGTATACTTTATAATTCAGACTACACTGGCTAATCTTACTTAATTTGTTATCTAGATAATTTTTTTTTTTACAAGGCAGTTCCATTAATTAGAAGAATATTATGGTGTTTTATTATTATTCAGAATGTTTCACATTGTGTATTTAAATCTAAACACACTGGTTTTATAATAAGTGTTGTCTTTAAGACTTACAATTGAAATGTGAAAAAGTAGAGGTGGTTGGGTGGGTTTTTTTTAATTTTGAAAGTCATAAATCTTTTCGTATATAAGCCTGTGTGATTCATCTTTGCACAGTTGATAATCAAGGCTACTTAATGACAGAAGTATATCTGAGTAAACATAGGTTTATTTTTTGAACTTGAAAGTTTCTGAAACATATCTCTCATTGAAAAATTAAAAGAGAAGATTAGTAGCATTGTTCCAAGATGGTTACAAAATGAGACAACATTTTCACTATGAATTCAGTACCATGCCCAATTTTTGGTCTACCCTTTTGATACAGTTTGCTTTATCTCTTTGATATTTTACTTTTTCCCCTATCTCTCAAATACCCCAATTAACTCCTTCCATTTGGCTCCTCCTTGATTAGGGGAAAAGGAAAGTGTTATTAAGCATATCAATTTTTATCAGAAAGCAGCAGCTTGCTGTAGGTCACATAGGGTTTAAGAACTTTCTTCTTCACATTTCAGTGGACACAGCTTTTTTATCTTTAAGATGCTACTTGCACTGAAATTAACAGGGGACTTTGCACTTCTAAGATCTAACATCAACAATCCTGGAAAAATTAGAACATCTGACATTACATTGTAAATGCAAATCATCACTTCATGTATTGATTTACAAGCTAAAATGCAAATTGCCTTACAATTCTAACACAGTGATGTCTTCTACCATTCATTCCTGAAAAATTAACCTATATACCAAGAAAGCCATGTAGTAGACACACAGAGTATCTCTATATTATCACATCACAAATTCACACCTCCTACTCTTTAATTAGGGAAAAAACCTCAACCTATCAGAGCCAACCACAAACTCATTTTGCATGTTCTAACTTCTAAATCCAGAATGCAAAATATCCTGGCTGAGTATTTCGTTCAGACACCTGCCAAAGCCTCAGCCTGTAAAACCTCTTCATAGTCCCAAAGTAAATTTCTTTCCAGAGCCTGGATCAAGAGAACCAGACTATATGAAGCATTCCACCTATTTGGGAAAAGAATGGACCTAACCTAATTCAAGTTCATACTGAATCTGCTCAACTGGTTGAAGGTTCCCCGTTAACAACAACCATCAGAAATAAGTATTCTTCAGATCCTACACTTCCTACTCAGTAAAGCAGAATCAAAACATTTATCAAAACAAATATGAAGAAAGCAATTATGTTTTACTGCATTCAGACTCTGAATATGTAAACAAATCTGTCCAGATTAAAATATTTATACAAGCAGTAGAGAAATGTATATTTACACATCCTCTTCAAATGTCTTATAGAGTATGCCCTTCAAAGAACAGTGGTGAGACATTAAAAAAAGACTAATTTATAATGACTGAAAGTTTTTTAAAAACAATTTTCTTAGCTAACTTGATTAATACCATCTGCTACCAAATACTTTTCAAAAAATGAATTTTTAGCTAGATTTAGAGGCTGGGTTTTTTTCTAGTATGAAAGCAAGGACCTGAGTTAGTCCGTCAAGAATATGCCATCACCATCACTGTGTGGTCCCACGCTTCTGCATTCTCATTCCACATTTGCTTTTCAGGAAACTATGTTTCACTCAGTACATGCCTGCTTGGGTTATACATTCCATTTACTCTGTCTTTCTCAGTAGGACAAATGGCTAGATGCTTTTAAACAATTTCTCAAGAAAGGGGGAAAAAAGTGGAGTTTTCTATTTTAAGTATCAAATTTGCAGTGATTGCCTTAAAAAAAAAAATATCCAGTAATCAAAGTTGAGTTTTCACTCTCCTTACTTGCACACCACAATTTTGTGACTACCACTGACGCAGTGCCCTGCTCCAGGTGCCATCCAATACAATTTCCAGTGGCCACACTAAGCAGTGGTGGGGCAGAATCTTCACGACTGCGGAGGAGAGATGGACCTTCTGGCCTCCTCCCCTCACACACAACACTTTTCCTAGCTTTGAGGTGGGCGAAGAACTCCATGAACTATTGGAACACAAAAACCCAAGGGGAAGCAATGAGCTGGGAGACAGGGTATGGAGGAAATATGAACAGTCTTCCAAAGCAAGAGAGGGCACCGAACGGCAAGCAGGAGAGGTTAAAATCACACAGTGCATAAAAGGATGTGAGGTAAGGTGGATAATTCATAGCAGTAGGTAATTTAACAACTGATCTCCATTTTATTCACTTATAAAATATTTGGGTTCAGCCTAGAAAGAGTAAGAAAGCAGCCTATCACTTCATGTGAAAACAACAAATAAAGTATTACAGTACCCCACTGCTGTACCATTTTTCTGAACGCAAGGATCAAGATGTAAGGGCAATGTCCTGTTTCCACTGCTTCACTACCCCTCATCTCAGTAAAAAGAAACACATTTTCTGTATTTGTTCACTATAAATCCACACAATTGCTACCCTGCAATCAGCAACTATTGGACTTCCTTTGGAAGGAAAATATCTAATCTTTATTTTACAGCACATAGCTGACTTTTTAGCTGTTATCAGATGGGACCATTAGCCACCAGGCTCCCAAACACCATCATACCACCAACTCTAGCATCACCAGAGTACGTATCAATATTTGCAAAACTATTCCATAAACAGAGTCCCGGTGCTTTGTCAAAAATATCTTTTCCTACTAAAGGGGAAAGCAGCAGACCTCTCTAGCACGTTGCTGTCACGTTCTTTTCCTGTGTTACGGATGAGTTC